CAACGAAGTGTTGGACCCGATTGTAGACGCCATCAGGAGTACTGAGCCCCAGACCCGGTACGCGCCGGCGAGTAAATGGTACGTCAAATTGAGCATGCTCATGCCCCAACACCTGCCCAGCGAGTTGGCTGACTACCTGTTTGCCCACGAGAGCCGCCGGGAGCCCAAAGTGGCCGGTCTTCAGCTGCCATCGCACGCGACTCCTGAAGAATAATGGATTATCACATTTATTTTAATGAAATATTAGTATAAAGTTCTATTTAAACAATTTTGGTTGATTAATTTATAAATAGGAAGTTTTATTTAATTTTAATTTATAATTAATACTGTATAACAGAATTGTCAAATAAAATAAACAATATAAACATTTTAAAAACTCATTATATAATAGACTTTGATTTAATAAAAACCTATTTTTACAGTGTATTTTAATCAACAAATTAAAGACATTGATTAAGCACAAGTTTATATTAACAAATAACATGATAATTTATTTCTATTCACTATCTATCAGTTAATAGTATATCCATTAATGTTTGCGTTTAAAATACCTCTACTTTACCATCATATCAAACCTATAAATACACTTTAAATAACGGATTAACACAAAATAATTCACACATTCATTGGCTATCATTGAGTCTCACAATCACTATCGAGACATTTCTTGACAAACACTTTAAGCAAAATGTCATTTTTAAAGCTATTTTCGTTCAACAATTTGCTAATCCAATACATCATAGCGTTTGCAACGCTATTAATCGCCGTAAACATCAGCCAATGTCTGGAGGGCCTGATCACTGCCATCGGCCGGTGGGCTGTAGTGGCCATTATAGCCTGGTTTGGGGCAAAACGCTGGCGCAGACACCATAACAACCGGCGCCTCACAGCGTATAAGCGGGCGGTTTTGGTAACAGGTAATTACCAACATTGCAAACCTGTTAAAATCACCAATATCATATTATTTTGGTTTAAATAGGCTGTGACAGCGGGTTCGGTAACGCCCTGGCCATGAAACTTAACGAACACGGCTTCCGTGTGTACGCCACTGTGTTGGACACGGAGGGGGAGGGGGCGCGCAATCTGTTGACCCGACAAAGGTTTGACGGCCAGACCCGTGTCGTACGTATGGATGTGACCAGCGATCAGGAAGTAAACAAAGTGTATGAAACAGTGGCTAAAGAGTTGGTGGACAACGGGGAACAGCTGTGGGCAGTGGTCAACAACGCCGGTATACTAACGCTCGGACCCCTCGACTGGGGAACAGTAGATACCTATAAGCGGATCCATGAGGTGAACACGTTTGGTATGGTTCGGGTGACCAGAGTTTTTCTGCCACTTATTAGACAATCCAAAGGTTTGTGTGTTTGACTTATGACAAGTTTCACTGATAATCAGTACCTAATGTATACTCTGTTGTCTCGCATGCAATGTACTCAACAACTAATGTACTCTCTTTCTCTCTCTCTCTCTCTCTCTCTCTCTCTCTC